ATATATATATATATATATAAAGTAATAATAATAATAATAATGATGCGACATGACATTGCTACCAAGACGCGACATTGTATGTGATATATGGGGATGAGTTAAGAGTTCATTTAATACCAAAATTGGTCATGCAGCCCAAGCATGACACATTCAAGTTTCAGTCACATGATATGAATAATGAGTTAAATAAATCGGCATTTTAAATTAAATAAAAATGAGAAAATTTTTATTCTTATAAGATGATATTAATGATTTTTTTTATTATCCAGATTATCAGTCAGTATTTTTTTACTAAGAGTTAAGAGTTCATTTAATACCAAAATTGGTCATGCAGCCCAAGCATGACACATTCAAGTTTCAGTCACATGATATGAATAATGAGTTAAATAAATCGGCATTTTAAATTAAATAAAAATGAGAAAATTTTTATTCTTATAAGATGATATTAATGATTTTTTTTATTATCCAGATTATCAGTCAGTATTTTTTTACTAAAAAAAATAAAAAACTCATTTTATTCAGTTTTATCTATATTTCAAAATTCATAAATATATCAAAATGGTCGTGTGTGGGTAATTTAGTATGAAAATAAGTCGTTATTTTGAATTTAGTCTCTCAATCATACAAATTGATCAATTTTGGATAATTTAAACCACATTGATTAATTAATTTCCCATGTCCAAGTACTTCTTTAAGTTGAGTAATTCTACTTTCTCAAATCATGTCATGATGTTATCACAAATAACATTTTCAATAATGTCATAATTGAATTGAAAAAAGGGTTTTACTTGGATATGATTTCTTATGATGTCCAAGCACTAAAAAGTTAAATCATTTTTAAGTGAAAATTATTATATTAGTGTGAAATGTTATTGTGTCGATCAATTGGGTTATACTGCTGACTCAAATTTCAATTCCACTGTTCGATATGTGAATTCAATGATGTGGCGCTAAAAATTTAGAAAGCACAACACCTCCGTGTTGTAATTTGAGCACTTAAACTCTATATAGTTTAGAGCCACGATGTTGTGAGTCAGAGAAGTTAGCATTGAGGTGCTGCTGGTACAACACCACATTGCTGAGAATTGGGTTGAGCTATTTTTCTTTCTTGTTCTTCTCATTTCACTTGAAGGATTGTATCCTTTAAAATATTCTAGTACGTCTCTTTATTTGTTCTAGGTGTAGAACAGTATGAGAAGAGGAGAGATAAAGAGAGTATTAAAAAGATTTATGTACAATTTCTCTCATTTTCATAGTGCGTTTATTGGTGTGGTGCGGCTCTATGAATTTTGCTCTATTTCTAATTTTTTTCACATTAAATCCTGATGTTCTTTCTTCATCAGTACAATTTCTTTTTCATGTTTGTTTTGTTGTTTACTTACTTTCCATAAAAAAAGTTGCAAAAATTCACAAGTGTTTTCAAACAAGCTTTCCTTATTTGATAGAACAATTCTTTTAATCTATTAAATATTTTTGAATATTGATTTTTAACTTTCTATTCTTGTCTTATATTGTTTAGAGTTGACGTTTACTTCAAGCTAGGTGATAGTTCACAATCTTCAAGAGAATTCATTATATTTTATTGCTAATTTTCAATATTGATGTCCAATGCTTGATTGTTTAGTAGTAAATGACATGCATAATCTTATCATCTAGCGTCGACTATAATAGTTAAAATGCTCTTGCAATTCAATTACTTTCATTTAAATTATTCGTTTACTTCATCCAAATCTGTATTTAGGTTGGATGATAGCTTAATTTTTGGTGTTACTAAATAAATTGACTATGAAATTAATTTTATCTACTTGCACATCATAGCTTAACCATCTAATACTACGCTATAATTAGATTTGTGACATTCATTATAAAATTTGATTAACTGACTAAGCCTTTGTTTGGGATGACTTTAATTTCTTACTTCTTAAAGCAAATTTTTAGTACAAAAATTTTAATTTTTGAACTAAATAATTGCATTAAAAATAGTAAGAAACATGCCCCAAATAAAACTTAGGAGTGTATGTTCTATTATTATTGAGCTTAATAAATTATGTGATAAATACTTGAACACTCATAATGTTAGTCTACACATATTTTGTGTAGATCAAATTTCTTGTAATTATATATTGGTATAATTAGATTATATTTAATTATTAAAATAGTAAGCTTTCATTAATGAAAAATTGTTCATTTCATATGAAAAATAGTATTTTATTTTGAATAAATTTGCACTAATGGTATCTTTGATATAATTTAGAAATTTAAATGTTATATGAACAAATATAAAAATTTATATGTTATATATATATATATATATATATATATATATATAAGAATTTTATGATATGTACATAAAATCTCAATAATTTTAATGCTTAATGCATGTTGGTTGACCTTCCTTGAATTTCTCCCTCTTTTTCTTGTGAGTGGTGATGACAAATAATAATTAGGTGAACATACAAATATGTAATTATATGTTGTAAGCTTCTCTATTCAAATATCTACCAAGTTAAGCTCTCACAATTTTTCTCAACTTTTATCATTCATCGATTATCAATGAAATCTTAGTCATGTATTATTACATAAATATGATGAAAAATGTTCTCCATGTGATTGTAGATATAAGGTTTTACAATCTCATCAAATTTAATCTCGATTTATATTTGTTATAATATATATATATATATACTGTATCTTAGTCTGTTGGTTGAAAATTTTAATTTTGAATTAAGAGGTTGTAGATTTGAGATTTTGCATATTTGTTATGTAGGAAGTTGTTATTAAATTCGCTCAAATTCTCGAAGAAGTAGTTTTACATTCTTCTATATTTTACATTTTTCCACCAACAAAATACCTCTCCTATTTTGTTTTCCAATTTTGGGAAAAAAACTAATTTTTTTCCTTAAATTTTATCATTTTTGTTTACTTACTATTTGCACCAAATACCTTTGCTTAGCCTATTGATTTGAATTTGCACTTCCAACTAAGAGGTTCGAGATTTTGCATATGTGTATGTGTTGTATGAGTTTGAGATAAAGGTTTCGTTTGGGACGGCTTTCTTTCTACTTCTTAAAGCAGCTTTCTAATAAGAAATTTTAATTTTTGTACTAAAAAGTTGTTTTATGCGGAAGTAAAAAAGTCATCCCAAACGAAATCTAAGGCGTCATTTGGGGCAGCTTTGTTACTATTTTTTACAGCAATTTTCTAGTAAAAAATTTGTCGAAAACAACAAAAAAACAATAGCCAAAAGCCGTCCCAAATGAAGCCTAAGTTCGCTCAAAGTTTTTTAAAAATCATGAAAAAAGAATAAAAATGGACAAATCTGCATATATGGCTTATGATTTAAAGGAAATAATTATATCTCCAAGGTCATTGATTTAAATCACACACTTTAAAATTTATAGCTCATCATTTTAATAAAAAAAAAAGGGATTGAAATATATATCACTCAAAAATTTCTTATTTACCTATCAAAATCCTAAACTTCAATATTTATTTGTATAATCCTCAAAATGACCAAACTTGCTTCCATGGCATCAATCAAGTCATGCCAAAACAACTGAACATAAAATAGAGCGGAATAGAGAAATAAGAAAAAAAGTTGGGGACATTTAGTCCTCTTGGTTGGGACAATTGGATGTGCCATGGGAGAGGAAGAGAGATGTCATATGTTCCGGAAAATTATTACGTTCGGCGTCCGGATTCGTCTCAAAGCGAGTCCAGATGCGCCACGTCACCCGGGACCCAGTGCATCCGGATTCACCTCTCCGAACGGTCCGGACGCCGCACGTAATATTCTCTCCATCCATTCCATAGAGGGCATATCAACAAGAAATTATTCAGTGCAGTCGTCCAGACTCCAATAGGAAAAGGTCATGTCCTTGTACACAGTATGTGTATCAATACACATACTATGTACAAAGTTATACAGTGTGTGTATTGACATCGTGAATGTCTTTCATTGGAGTCTAGACGTGAGCTATGTCTGGACTCCGCACGTAATAATACTGCAATCGCCGCAACTTGCTCTACGCCATGACTTCCTAGCAAGATGTTGTCGCGACTCATCAAAAGGTTTTGTCAAGCTATTAGCTTATATCTAATAAGTGTTATATCATATAAATACTAAAATTTATAAATAAGACAATTTTAAGTGCTATATACCTAAATCTTTAAAATAAAAAAAAAAACCTCTGCAAACGTTCAATAAAATCACCCAGCAAATATTAATAGAAATCACAGTTTGATTTTATTTTTAAATGTATTACCTAATTAAAAGGTTTAAATTCATTTACATCTTTACTTAGCTCTATATTTTTGTAGTGATTGAAAACTAAAAAAAAAAAAAAAATCTACAATACTCTCTGTTTGTGGGTATCCAATCTCAAATTCTAACCCTAACTCATCTCCTTCGGTTAACCCTTTTCTTTACTTCACCGGAAAGCGATCAGTGATAGAAACGCGAAGAAGACGGCGACTCCGACGGCCGTGCAGCACATATCCAGAACCCCTTCTCGCCTCGCCCTACTTTCCTTCCTCCTTCTCTTCCTCCTCAAATACTCCAAATACCTCTGCTTCGCTTCTTCCTCTTCCTCCAATCTCCCCCTCCCCTTCCTCCTCGCCTCCATCATCGCCCTCACAAACTTCAGCGCTTCCTCCCCGCTCACGCACGCGCCATCAATGTCCTCAGCTGTGAGCACCACATCCCGCACGTGCCCCGTCCCTTCTTCGCACGTGACCACAGCTCCGATAACCCTTTCCCCAGCCGCCGCAGCCGATGCGAACCGCACCATCGTCTCCCCTGTGTAACAGTTCCGCTCCATCCCCACTGCTCGCCGGCTCGACACGTTAACCGCTCGACCCATCGCTGGATCAATCAAGATCCAACTCAGCGTCAGCTCCTCAGGAGATATAGACGCCCCCGGAAGCACCGCCTCTGCTTTCTCCTCCATAGCGTCGATCAAGAAGGGGGATCCGCGGAACCACGGTGAGGAAGTATCGGTCTCTATGACGCGGGAAAAGATGTGGACGCCGCGATGGTAGATGTCTACGGCGGAGATGAGTTGATCGGGTAGTTGTACTTCGCCGGCGGCGAATGCGTCGGGGAAGGGAAAAGCGTCGGAGAAGAAGGAACGCGGAGAGATTGACAGGAAAGGGAGGATTCGGGGATGGTGAAGAGAGGGCCAGGTGGAAAGGCAAAGGTGGAGCCAGAGATCGGATTGGGACGAGAGAGAACGGAGGTGGGAGGTGGCGGAGCAGGCTGCGGCGAGGGTTGGGCCGTCGAGGAGGCGAAGAGTGCGCGTGAGGACGTCGGGGTGGAGGTCCTCGATGGAGGTGGAGGTGGAGGTGGAGGTGGAGGGGATTGCCATTGATTCGGTGGGCAGTGGGTAGGCGGCTGAGCTCCGGCGGTCTTTCCTGATGGGTTCGAATGGTGAACGGATTTGGGGGTTTGTTTATTTATAGTGGGAGGGATATTGATGTCAATTTATTTATTAATAAAAAAATTGATTGATTAGAATAAATATTAAAATTATTAGATTTCCTTTATAATTTTAAGATACGAGTCCAAGGACATGCGATTTTTTTATTATTTATTAATTAAAGAAGAAAGATTTTTTTTTTTTAAATATGAATTTAAATTTTAAGTTAGGTATTTTTTAATTTATTTTCACTATTAGAAAAAATTAAGATAGGTTAAAGTCTAAGCTTTGTTTGAGAATATTATATTATTTTATAAAGTTGATTTTGATCTTATTAATTATTATACGAAAAATATTCTGATTTATTTTTTTAATCACATTTTTTTTTCAAAATTTTCTCAAGCTGAATTTAACTTCAAATTAGCAAAATATTTACTTAGTTTATTTTTTTGTATGAGAAATGACAATTATTGTACCTAGAGTTCAGGCCATATTTTTAAATGACCCATCAATGCAATTTATTTGTTTTATAATATTAATAATTTGACATGAATTTATTAATTCATAAAAAAATTTAAATAATATAGATTATATTTTATTGATTTTCAAATATTTTTTTTGAAGTTTTCTTGCATCAAGGTAAAAAATAATAATTTAAATTTATAACATTTTTCTGAATTAAATGCAAAATTTTATAAATATTCTTTTTTAATTAATAAATCACAAGTACTTACTCACATATCTTAAAATTATAAATAAATTCAATAATTTTAATATTTATTCTGATCACTCAATATTTTTCATTATTAAATAAATTGAGACCAAGATCCCTCCCACTATAAATAAATAAACCCTCAAAGTTGTTCACCATTTGAACTCTTTAGAGAATTCTTTACAAAGGATTTTTAATCTATCATTCTAAGACATTTATTAAACTTCAGTTAATGCCATAATTATCATATTTAATTTCTAACTTTCAATAATTCATATAGATAGGGTGAAAATCTTACTTCTTACAGTTAAAATGATCAAAATATTTACCTATTAAAAAATATACGATGAAAAGTTGAAATGGTGAAAAATTTTGGCGGTTTATTTATTTATATTGGGAAGAATTATTTTTTTGAAAATTTGAGTATTAAGATGAATTTACACACACATCACATATATAAACTTCGAACCGAAGATCTCTTGATTTGTGGCCAAAGCTGCTATGATGTCAATGTATTTATTAATAAAAAATATTGATTGATCAGAATAAATATTAAAACCATTGGATTAACTTTGTAATTTTAAGAAGTGTGTGTAAGTACCTCTGATTTATTCACTAAAAATGGATATTTATAGGGGTGTCAATTCGAGTTGATGGGTCGGTTTCGGATCGAACCTGAGTTGACTCGGATCTAAACGAGGTAACTCGAACCCGACCCATTTTTTGCAAATAAGTTATATATTTCAACTCGGTCCCGACCTGCACGGGTTGCCGTGTTGACACGACTCGACCCGGATTTAAGAGATTTGGTTCAAGAAGCGCGAGCCAAGCTCCCGTCGCTACTTCCTGTTCCTATTCAAAGCTAGCGGCGAAACAACGGTAGCGGCGGCGAGCAAAGTTCGATAGTGCAGGCGGAAGGCGGTCAACGAGGGCGAGCGGAGTCCACAACCACGAGTGTGGGTAGTGGGCAGAGTCTGCTAATCCGCGAGTGCGGGCAGCGACAACAACGGTGGAAGGCAGTCGGTGTGTCGCGAGTGCGGGCATAAATCCGAAATGGACTCCGACTTTTGGGTCATTGTCGGGTTGATTTAGGGTTTTCGGGTCAACCCGAACCAGGGCCATGCATTTTTTGAAATGGGTCAAAAATCAGAACCCGAATCCAGCTCATTTGCTAACCGGGTCAACCCAAACCCGGATTTTTTTGGGTTGGGTTCTGGTTGGATTCCGGGTCGTGTAAAAATTTTACACCACAAAATATTTATAAAATTTTCTTTAAACGTTATGTCCTTTGTAAAGAAGCATTTAAAATTCTGAAAATTTATTAAGCTTTTTCTTAAAAATGTTAATGAATTAAAATATCTGATAAGAAATTTTATTTCTATTTATAATTTTTATAAAACTTTATGGGCTCTGTAAAGTAAACATTTGAAGTTTTAAACGTTTTATTTTAAAGCATTTTTATAAAAAAGTTAATGAATTAAAATCTCTGATAGGAAAATTTTCTTGATAAATCAGTTGAATTTTAATTTTATTAAAATTCATAAGATAAGCATAATTACAAATCCATGCCCAACTAAAATTTTGTATTTAATTTAGGAAAATATGTTATAAATTTAAATTATTATTATTTACTTCATTCAAGAAAAACTCGAAAAAGAAATATTTGGAAATCAATAAAAGATAATCAACATGATTTCAATTTTATTATAAATTAATAAATTCATGCCAAATCATTAGTAATATGAAACAAAAAAAATTGCCATAAAAATCAATTTTGATCGATGTTAGACATATTTTAAATAGCCATTCGAAAATTAATTTAGGGGCTATTTGATTTAAATAAAAGGGTGCAAAATATTCTAAATAAAGAGGCTTTTGAGAATATTGGTGTTTGCACTACTAATAAATCAGATTTTTGCATCACTTTTTATGGCCCACCTACTAATTTATTTGCAGCGATTTAAGAAAAGGAGAAGAGGAAAGGAGAGGAAGAAGACCTGCGAATTAGCTAAATCAGAGAAGGAGACGAGACTGTGAGACAAATGTGGGAGCTGGAGTTAGGGTAGAGGAGGGAGAGAATAGGAGGGAGAGGAGAGATCGTGAATGTTAAAATGAAAATGATTTTTGTAGCGATTTTTTAAATGTTGTTATTGAAATGTTGCTAAAATATTATTTTTAGAAGTAACTTTAGCATCGGTGAAATTTATTGTTTATTTCTATCTACAATAGTGGTTTATAAACTTTAGAAATGTGACCCTAAGGATTAGATTCTAGATGTTGATGTGTGATTTTCATTATAATTATGCTGACATATTTTTTGTAGGGTACTCATGCAATTTTTATTTTTCGAATATAATTTTAGTTAGGAAAGTCATGCATATAGGTGTGTGGGTATTTCAGAAGGCAGAATTTCAAATGTGTGATGAGAGATCAAGACCCCGCACACCATTTAGTGATGTGGGTGAAAGTCACTATCTTTCATAGTTAATTGTATGTATGATCTTATATGCTCTCTCATTAATCTGTTTATAAACAGCTACTGTGAACTGCTACGGAAACATTAAATTTTTAGTAGTCTTTGTTTAAAGTAAAACAAATACAGTGTAAAATTTTAATATATTTAAAAGCCATAAACAAGAGCAATGGAAATTGCGATTAAACAAAGACTACTAAAAATTGTAATATATATATATTAATCGCAATTAATTTCAGTCCCTCTAGTTCATTCTACCGCAGCTCATAACTATCAGCTGCCGCAACCAATCATACTTTACGCTACATTCATTTTACTTCAACCCAAACAAAAAAAGTAATTCCCCCGTTTGTTTTACATTCATCTAAACAATTCCAAAATATTTAAAATACGCTACATTACTTTTACATTGTATTTCTTTTACACATTTTTCCATTTTAAGTCAACCAAATCGCCTCTTAAGTCGATTTGGAAATGATTTTAAAGCTTTATATTCAAATGAATTTTCTGAAATTTACTCTAAATATGCTTTAAGTCTTCATTGGAATCTATGAAAAAAAATTCAAGTATTTAGTGAAAAATAAAATAATAAGTTCTAAAAAAATTCTTTCCTTCGCAAAAACTTGCACCATTTAGAATGTTCAATCTAACTTTGTCTATGGGTGGTACTCTGGATCTTGCTCGCAAGATTGACTACGAAAATTAGAGAAGCAAAGATGGAAAGGGAGAGAATATGAGAGAAGTCTCATTAATTATATGAGTTATATCGACATAAATAAGTTACTTTGTATCCTTAGGCTTGCCCGCTAGTCTCTATTTATAGGTGAGAGTAGAGGCAATACTAAAAAAAATACATTAAAAGATAAATGCATGAATGTCATAATATATCTTAATAATATCTTATCATAAGAAGAATATATGCTAGTTATATCTCATTAATTATATGAGATATATATTAAAACTTTCCATATATAAGATGAGGTCGCATGTAGCCACATGAGCTTTCCAGATATAAAAAATAATGATTTCGCTAAATTCTTTTATTAAAAACCCATATATATTTAAACTCTATAAATAATTTTGAAACATCTTTAATATGATGATTTAGGCTTCATTTGAGACAATTTTCTTGCTAATTTTTAAAATAAATTTGTATAGTAATTTTTTTTAAAGCAACCAAAAAAAGTTTTAAAAAGCTGTCCTAAATGAAGCCTTAAATTTCTCAAATAATACAAGTGAAGATGAGAACACTTTATAAATTATCTTTTATATGTTCAAATAACCAAATGAAGCCTAAATCAATTATAATAGACGAAATTTTGTTTGAAGATCCAACACATACAGAGATAGAGAGAGATGCATCAATCATGATAGACCAAAATTTTTATGTGAAAAGTCCAATAAAGGGAAAAACTACAGGGTCTGGCCCAATTAAAATGAGTAAACTAGTGTTTTTCGTTGATTACAAATATTGTCATTCCTCAATGTTGCAAAAAAAATATCGCATAAAGCAAATTACATGATTGGGATTGGAAGAATATAATGACATGAGAGCCATTCTCAAAAAAATGTTGGTCTATTTGTTTGGTTTGTAAGACCATAATCAGGAGACTGTGCACATAGGGAACGTAATCGAGCGAATAAGATTGAAGGGATAGTTGTCGGGTGACAAAGATATGAGAGACCGTTGTAAGTGATGGTGGTTGGAGGGATTGTGGACCTCCAAACAGACATAGCCGGCTGCAAAGTGCAGAGGGTATTCGA